CGGGGTGGTTTCGGACCAATTGTAGCGAGTAAAGCCAAAGGCTCTATGTCTATTGTGGTGGTCTCATGAAACGCTTCATATACGCAACATTTGTACACGATGATGTTCCCATAATAATTTAAAGCTTTGAAAGCATCTCTCAAGTGAATATTATGCAAATAAAACACCATTGAATTGCATGTAATTAAGGAGGAGATTAGCTAGGGCATTGATATAGGCCCCGTTAAACCCATTTGAAAAAACAAACCAAAACACATTACGGCTGATTTGTTTTTTTTTAGCGGAAAAATCTGAGGGAGGCCCCCACTTTGTAAACTTTTATTTAAACAAAAGAAGCAAAGCAACTCTATACAAGAGATAACAAAAAGGAAGCAAGCCCGAGGGTGCAAAGCAGAGCTAAACTAGAGCATTTGACAAGAAAGGAAGACAGAGCGCTTAGCAGAATGAATCTATGGGCTGTAGCCTAACTTCGTCATAGAAGGAGCTTTTCCAAGAATCAAAGGATGGCCGGCCTCTCATCAAATATAGAGTTGTTTCTCTGCTTCCAAATCTGCCAGTGGCAATGATGAAGGTCTCCATAAAAAGGGGTTGTTATGTTGAGCCTTGGCTTGTCGCATCATCCGGAAGAAATCCATTGTGAAGTCCCAATTTATACCAAGGTGTTGCCAGCAGGCTTGGGTAAAGGGGCAGGTGAAGAACAAATGAAATGCGGTTTCTTCAATGTTGTTGCTGCATAGGACACAATTGTAGTTGTTTCCTGAAGCTTGTGCTTTTTCCTTCTCGAGAATGTTCCTTGTGTTCGGTCCATCCATCAAGAGGAGCCACGAAAAAACTCGAAGTTTGTTACTGACATTTGGAGTTCCAAATCCAGAGAAAAGGGATGGGGTCTGTATATTCTTGTAAGGAAAGTTGTAGCACTTTGATGAGGAGTAGTTCTTGCTTCCCCAAATGTATTCCCAGGAGTCCTTTGAATTACGATCGACCTGCAGATCTTGAATTAATTTCGGAGACTTTGGAATTCTTGGAAGGCTTGCTCGATAAGGGCAAGTGAAATTGGGCCTCAGAGTGTTATTAGACAAAAAACACAGCTCTTGAAATGTTCTTATTCCGGGCAAAGGAATAGAGCCTTGGGAATTTGGATTCTAGGATGTTGTCATTCCAAAGGTCAGACCAAAAAAGCACAGTGGAACCATCTCCAAAAGTGCACTTTGCAATTCCTCTGAACATGTCACATAATTTTAGGACATCCTTCCACCAAAATGAACCCCTATCTGTCGAAGCATGTGGCACTTGACCCTGGGAATAATGCGCATTCCAGATCAGCTTCACCCATGGGATATCCTTCCTATTATAAAATTTGTCTAGATGCTTCAAAAGAAGGGTCTTGTTTTGACTCCTAAGATTAATAATTCCTAATCCTCCTTTTCTTTTTGGCTTTGAACATTTTCTCCAGGCCACCAGTGGTTTCATCTTTGCATTAGAATCTGAACCTCTCCAAAGGCAGTGACGTCTTGCTCTATCAATATACTCAATGACCGCAACCGGCACCTCTAAGGTACACATGGCATATGTGAGCAGCGAAGAGAGGATTGAATTGACTAGCTAAAGCCTTCCAGCATGGGTCAGGAAGGTAGAAGTTGCCGTGAGCCTTCTCTCAACTTTAGTCATAATGGGACCATAGTGTTCAACTAGAGGTTTTGTTGTTCCCAACGGCAGTCCAAGGTAGTTAAAAGGGAGATATTCCAAATTGCAGCCGAAGACACCAGCAAGGAGTTGAGCTTTTTCAAGAGAGAGATTTAAGGAACAAGGCAAGACTTTCAGTAGTTGACTCTCAGCCACTGCCGATTCAAGTAGAAGGATTCGAGAAGGCCTTTTAGGGCGAATAACTCCCTCTAAGAAGCTTTCATGACTAGAATAGTGTGTCGTCGACGTCTTGAACAATGGGGAACCGATCCAGCTCAAAAGAAGGAATAGGCAACTCAAACAAACCTTGATGGTAGGCTTTGTTGACAATGCATTGAAGGAGATCATGACAAGCACAAAGAGGAGAGGTGACAGGGGGTCACCTTGTCTAACCCCACGACGACAGTGAAAGTGGTTGCCTGGCACACCATTTAGAAGGACCGAAGAGGAGCTAGAAGCAAGAATCCTCTCAATCCAATCAATCCAAATTTCAGCAAACCCCAAGTGCTTCATCATCAGCAAGATTGTGTTGTGCTCAATTGTATCAAAAGCTTTTGTAAAGTCTAATTTCAGAATAATAAGCTCTTTTTTTGGAATGTTGGCATTGATGGATGTACTCATAAGCCCAGGCCAAACAATCCTATATTGTTCTATTTTTATGAAGCCATACTTGGTTGGTATGAATTAAAGGAATTATTTTAGCTGCTGTACCGATTGGCAAGGAGCTTTGTGATGATTTTGATGACACCATTCGAGAAGGAAATGGGCCTGTAGTCATTGACACTTGTAGGATTGTGCACTTTCGGGATTAGAGTGATGAATGAGCTGTTGATGGCTTCAGATTCAAGTTACCATTGAAGAAATCAAAGCATAATTTGTAGACATCTTCTTTTATAAGATCCCAACATTTTTTGAGAAAGAGCCCATTGAAGCCATCCGGACCGGGAGCTTTATCGACGGCATGTGTTTGATGACCTCATCGATTTCATGGGTGGAGAAAGGCCTTGAGAGAGAAACTAAGTCATCTCTAGCCCTGCACTAGATGATCAAGGTTGTAGAGCATTGTAGGATTAGAAGAGCATCCCATTCTCTTTTAAAATCCTCTAGTAGCAGAGCTGCCTTTTCATTATGCTCGGTGATAGATCTACCATCCTCTTTGTCGTCAGCTAGTGATGGTGTTAATCCTCTGTGATCTCGAAAGGGTGCAGCTGCGTGGAAAAATTTTGTTCCTTCATCTCCCAACTTGGTCCATCTCACGGTGTACCTCTTCTTCCGAAGACTTTTTTGTAGCCATGTAATCTGAGAATGTGTGCTTTAAGAATCCTACGAAGTTAAATTCTCTGTATAAAGAGAGGTCTTTGTTCTTCAAGAGAGTCTAAAACTTCTAAATTGTCATTGCAAATTTTAATCAACCTAGAGAGATTAGACAATTTCTTGCTCCACTTTTTAGGGCAGCTCTAAGAAGCTTGAACTTTGAGCTAATTCTTGTGGCCTTTGTTTGAAGCTCGACATTAGAGGTCCAAACAGATTTCACAAGATCCATGAACCTGTGGTGATCAATCCGAAGAGTTCTCAAATCTGAAAGTTTGTGCCTTGGGGATATTGGTGCCAATTTGTATTTTGCAAGGGATATGATCTGAAGTTGGTCTTGCCATTGGAAGAAGAAGTGTGTCGGGGTAATCGGAGATCCAATTAATGTAAGTGAAGACCAGTCAATTTGCTCAAGGAGGGATCATCTTGCATATTGCTCCAAGTATACTTTCTCCCTTTAAGTGGGATTTCTAGGAGTCCTGTGTTACTTATAATTTCATTAAAGATCATTATGTCATTCATATTGCCTCCACTACATTTTCGTCGGGTCAATGATCCGTAAAAGTTGAAGTCACCTACAATCATCCAGTTCACATTATCATCAATTTGAAGGTTGTTGAGCCAAAGAACAAACTCATCTCTACCAGGACCTTGGCATGGACCATATATGATGGTCGGGATCCGATTATGACCATTATGCAAGGAAGAGAAATTGACCGTTATGGAGAACTTGTTAATCTCAATGATTTCCCCATTAAAGATAGAGCTATTCCACCCCATAAGAATACCTCCAGAGTGTCCAATGAGAGGGAGAAGGCATACTTGTTGAAGCATTTGGGGCCGTTTTTTTATGAAGGAGTGGTCAAAATGATCTCTCTTAGTTTCTTGGAGATGAAGATTGCACAAGAGCTTTCATCGATTTTTTTTCTTTTATGCTTGTTGCATTTATCTTGAGTTGATTCCTCTAATGTTCCAATTGAGGATGTTTCAACTTCTTTTCGCAGACTAGAGTTTGAGCTATCGATATTTGTGGTGTTATCCATAAAAAAACAAGGGATGCATCTAAGGTCCACTTCTACTCGGACCTGCATCTTGAGCCTTGGAGCAAGAAGCGATTCAAATTGTCACCTCCACAGGATCGATGCAAACATAGTTCTGTTGCCACCTTTTGAATTTTAGTGATAGGAATTTCAGGAAAGACAAGATGAGCGTTGACATACTCCTCAACAAAGAGAGAGCCCAGAAATTCAATGGCTTGGGAAGTGGGAGGAGAAGAATGGTATCCGAAGATCACTTGTGGTTTAACCTTGTTCTCGTTTTTTTTTTTCTACCGACTTCCTTATTTTTTGAGGCAGCCATGACAGCTTGTATCCATCAAGCTTGGCGATAAATCTTGGGCTTCTTCTAAGCATTTGAGTGGAAGTAGGGGTGCTGCACTTCGTTTTCCTTATCACCTTTCGCTTGCCTTTGTTTTTACTATCATTATCAACAAGATGTGATCTGGTGCATAGATGGAACCATCTTGCTCTAGAGAAGGTTCAGATACCATAGTCTCCTCTCAAATTCCTTGGTCTTATCCTTGAATTTCCTCCTATAGTAGACTCGAGTGGACAGGGTCTTTTTATGATGATCAAAGAGGTCGAAAGGTGAAGGCTTGTCAATGCCTTTTGACTTGGGAATTTGGATCATCACCATAGAGGTGGTAGGCACCGGTGAAACAAAGAAGAGTAGTAGCAAAGCATTACTCGACCATTGTAGTTGACAATCGATGTTGAAGGAATCGATCTCGAGAGAGGCAAGGTCAATTTGGATGAGGGGGCTCGGGATAAGTACACTCCCCAAGGAGCCTATGAATGGAAGAGTAATCGACCATGGAGGATTTGTCTTAGTCCAAGCAGCAAGCAAGCAACCGAAGATAGCCCTCTCTCCGAACATGTTCATCTTGATTAGTTGTCACTCTATTATTCATAGCAGATAAAGTTGGACTGTCGATTGTAGGAACTTTGTTATGTTGAATAAGCGCCTGCTCCACAAGGTTGTTTTCCTCCACTGACACGCTTATCGATATCTCGAAGCATGGCAGTGGCAACAGAGGATGAGGCAGCATGAACCGTAACAGCAGGATCTTGATCCCTCAGACCAACAGAGGGATTGAGAAGGGTCGTAAGTATCCCATTTTCATCCTGTGCTTCATCCGAGAGATGTGTGTCCCCAGGAACTACTAGCCCCTCTAAAGAATGAGGGCTGCCATTGTGAGCAGTTGGGTCAGCATCATCATCACTCTTTGTAGTGTATGGAGAGTTGCGCACATTTATTGCGGTCTCATCATGCCTAACGAAACAGACTTCATGACCACCAATCCAATGCGAACTTGTAGCAACAAGCGTGTCGCGCTGACAAGGGTCGCCAAGCTGAAAGAATCCCACACCATGCGGATGCGGCGTGAAGTAAACGACCTTCTTCCGTACCTCAATTTCTATGTAATCTCTGATGAGATGCATGAGCTGGAGCTGCTGCGCTGGGGTAAGCTGGGCTTCAGTGATCGCGCTGGCACAACAGTTCGCCATGGCTTGATCGTTGTTTGCGGAGGCGAGAGGAGGTGGAGGCATAGGTTGCTCTGGTTCCTCTGTGTTTGTCTTCCTCGGGGTTGGGATGTGGAGAGTGACCTTCTGCGAGCAGCAAGAAGGCAAAGGAGCACTCGGGGCATTAGCAGCCTTAGGTCCTAGGGACCACTGAATAATAGGGGGAGGTTGAACGGTTCCATCTTTACTGCACACAGAGCTCAATGGTTGCAAGCTGGGCTTAGCAGTCCACTTGAGCTTAAGGTGGGCTCTTCTTCTAAAGCAATTTCAAGCCCGATGACCATATGTGAAACAGTAGATGCACCTAATATCACTTCGGCACTCCCAAATTAAATGATTTGGGCTTAAACAGCGAAAGCATAATCTGGTTGATAGGTTGGGATTAAAGTTGAACCGTTCACCTTGGGGGAGCTTCACTTCATTATAGTGCTTCGGCTGAAGAGAATTGGTGGCCAGAAAATTATTGCCATTAAAATCAAGCTCTCTCTCAAGCCTCTTGAAAACCGTTTGAACTGGAACCACTGAGGAAGATGCTACACAATGAGCACCATTGGGTTTGTGAGAAGCAAGAACATCAGAATTGGCTTGCACATCTCTTTCATAATCTGAAGAAATTGAAAATTTCCTCAAAACATTGCAGGAGTTTGTTGTAAGAGGGCAGAAAATAGCACCAATCTTGATCATCGACAAAAGCTCCCTAGGACGAGATTTATGAACCGGAGAATCTTGAATAAGCTTTTTGTGGAAAGAAACCCTCTTGGCAGACATCTTACGTTTGTTTTTACCAATCACAGCTGACCAGCTATCCTTCTCTTCTTTTTCCCATTTTTTGTGCTCGAGTTCCCAGTTTTCACCTCCATCACGCCACATGTGGAAGTAGATGTCAAAGTGATCAGTGGTAATCCTCTTAAGGGCACGGACCAACAAACCCACATGCTTCGAGGCAACAGAAAAGCGGAAGTGTCGGTCTTGCAGATAGGAAACATGAAATCCAGCCGGAGAGCCACCTAGGCAACAGTGAAGAGCCATAGCAACCGACTCTTCAGTCAAACGAAAGAGGTACCTTCGGAAAACCACAAGCATGAAGAAGGAGCCATCCGGAGACGATGATGGGTGGTGCACCGAAGAGGAGAACTTGCGAAGGACTTCAGCTTGGAATCTCTTACCCGGAGAGAAATCCCAGTCCTCGACTAACTCCGCAAGAGCAGGATCGTGCTCAAGTTCGAAGAGAGCACCAGGGGAGCAAACCTGCCGAGCCATGGAGGGGAACTCAACTTCAGCAAAGGTCTTGTCAGGGAGGAACGGCAGCAGTACCAAGCAGCCGCAGAGCAGATCAGTAGCAGCAGATCAGCACAAGAGGTGGCCGCCAGACCAGATGTAGAAGCCAATGACGACGGAAGATGGATTCCGCGGGGTTGATTCACTAGGCGGGTGACGACGGAAGCTACGGACGACTCACGACGGCGCCGTGCCTTCTTCGTCTCGCTCGCGTGGGAGCAGGGGCTCCACCGCGGCCCTATCGCGAGGTCAGGCCAACCATGGCGGTGCGGGACAGGGCCCAGCCATGGGGCTGCACGACGAGCTCCAGCGGGGAGCTCTATGGCCCGGCCATGGGCTGACGGGGCTACGCGGAGCGACTTCCAGGGCACGGAGCTATGCGGAACAACCTCCAGGGCACGGCGCAGGGTCGCGCGGAGCAGTGCGCGCCGCCGGAGTAGGCAGCGTGGGCCGCCGGCGTGGGGCCGCGCGGGCCGCAGGGCGGCGGGACGGAGCGGGGCGGCGCTAGGCTCGTTTCGACGCTATACGCACATTCTGGCTGATTTGTTGGGAGAGAAAAACACTGTTCTGGCTGAAAAAACAACCTGAAAAAGACGAATTATAAGAGAAGCGAACAGGGCCATAACCAATAATTGATTGTTCTGCAAATATATAACAGAAGGGAAACAAAAAATGTCTACAAGATAAAAGTAAATATAACAACAGATCCTCCCATAAAATAAATTCAGGCTTGACAATCCAATGAAACTTTGTGGTAGATCACCAGTAAGCGAATCAAAGGAGATATCCCTGGCCCCTACAAATGAGACAATCAGCCTGTTCGCTTGTTGGTTTCAGCCAGTCCAAACCAGCCAGCCAACAGTGTTTTCCTCTCACAAAAAACCAGCACTAGCCAGCCCAAACCAACACCAGCACCAACCAGCGAACAGGCCCATAATGCCACAGAATACTTACAGTCCTGTCAAACTATAAAGGTTGGAAAATACATCCTTGTAATTGGTTATGGTTAAGGTTTCTGCATATGCCAAGAAAGAAAAACATTTAACCATTCCAGATAATACATATTCCAAGGTAAAATCAATTCCATGATTAGGCATTGTCAAAATCGAGTAGGGTAAATTTCCGCCAAACCGTTTTCCTGCAAGATTGCTGCACAACAAGAATAATCATCTAACAGCCATGCCACCTGAATAGTTAGAGAATTTCAAATGTATGAATTCTCAGTCTAGGAACTTTACAGTCACCCAAGCTTCATATAAATAAGGTTGTAATCTATTTGGCTTCCGCCGCCAAGGCTATTTTGGCTCATATCACTGCATCAAAAATTGATTTAGGATGGTTATCAACTGTAGTCTCATCGCAAACTAGCTAGGTTGAGTGAAGTGAAGGTTACAATTGGGGACTCAGCTCAACTAATGTAACCAAGTTATTCATGTTGTAGGCCAAATTCCCTGAAGTCCCAAGTTCGGCAATATGCTACAGCATCAAACAAATGGGAATATACTAGGAGGGAGTAAGAAATGACACTGTGCTAGGCTGCTAGCAACTACATCGTGCTAAAAAGCTCACATAGCTCACATTTAAAGACCCTGATCCTGAGCAAGTGACGCCCTCCCATGACTGACTGTATGGATCACTGCCATTTGTCTGCCAACCACCTGCCCAAGAGAATTCAGACTAGTAAAAATATTAACTGCACGTACAAGAGCCATGAATTACAACAGCTGATAGAACGTATCATTACATATCTCTACAAGAGCCTGAAACAGCATGAACATGCATAGATTAAGACAGCAGCCCATTCATGCACGTACAAGAGCCATGAATTACATATCTCTACACATCTTCATCTTATTCCCCAGCAGCCCCGCCACCACCAGCCAGCAGTGCCCGCGCTGGCCAAGGGCGTTAACAGCCACACATTTAGAAAGTAGCATTTCCCAAGTGTTTTGCCCCAGAATTTGAAACCCAGGGTGATAGGTGGGATATTATGAGTAACAAACATATAAAATTACAATATTTTTCTGGTTTTTCGTCAGTTATGTTACTTTGATTGGCTCTCTATTTCTGTAAGGGATATCATGGTCATTTGGTACTCATTTTCTATCCAAACCCATCTGATCATCTCATATGAAACAAAGGAATGGTCTTATATACCATACTCACCTCTTCCTATACCATTTCATTTCCATTTCCAAACCCACATTAGTACATTACATCCAAGTGCACCCTTTTGTTTCCTGGCCTTCCATCCAACACCGCCATTGCCAAGAAACTGCAATAGCAATCCATGACCTCTCAGAATTATCGGCAATACGAGGTTGCCAGGGTAGGTGTCAAGGAGCCCGTGCACGAGCTTGATAAGGTGGGAGGAAACGGAAATCATCGAGGAGTACAGCCTCTGTTCATGGACTCAGAGAGCACGGATGCCCAAGGCCAGCAAAGAGCAACCAGATCCGACAAGTGCTACTGCTCAGCATCCGAGTGTTTCTGATTTGATACCTTCTGGTTTTCGCAACACCCAGGGTGGGAGTCAGACATGGCCAATATGGCACAGTGGTTGCACATCTCCGCCAGTGGCGGGCCATTGCCAATACGGGTCTACCAAAGACTCTTCTTTGGACTCTAAATGACATTTTGATTGGTTGACCAAATCTCATATCAAGAGTAAAAAACATCACTTCTTGTTTCAAATAGTTGAAAACTAAAAGTGAGGGCAACATGAGATACAAAAAAACTTGCTGGGCATAGATCGCATATAACCTTGTGAACTCTGAGAAGTGGCAGCTCTACAGGATGGAAGGAGACTTAATGTGTGCAATGCAAATATGCAACAGGAAGTTCAAAGTTTGTTAACATTATTTCTGTGAATGATGAAAAATTTATACATACAAATAAATACCGCAATTGCAAGCGTGTTTTCTCCTGAAAATGTTGAACCCAAAAAATGTGCACACAACTTGACATACAAGAACAGAAGTACAGAACAGAACAACACTGTATAACTTCATTTCATTTATATAAAATGGCAGCCATGAGCAAGTAGTTTGATGTCAATCCCAACTATCTAACTCAAGCCAGGCAGTGGCAATATGCCGACAGCATTGCTTACCCTAACAAAAAGAAAAATTGAGTAAAGAGCAATGACGCCAACTCCAAGTATCTTGTTAGGCCGCATGTCACCTCTCGGCAGCATAACAAGAGCCCAGATCAATCCAGCAACAAGAAAGCCCATTGTGTAAATAAGAGAGTAGTCTTGTGGAAGAACATACGAATTGGGTGCCGTTGACCAAGCTCCAAGCAGCATCGATATACCCAAACCAGCAAGTGTATTAAACATAGGTCCTGCATAACATCCAGACATGGCAATCTGCACGCCGTCGCCTCCATTCATCGCTAAAGCGACATTTGACATCAAGTCACCCATTGAATTCCCCCATGCTAACACTGTTAGCCCAAGTATTGAAGGATTAATTCCCAGTATCACACCCAAAGCAACTAAAAGTGCAACCAGTTCATTAGCAATGATGTAGAACCAGATGATGCTCATCACAAAGCCTCCAAAAACCCATGGGAACAAAAATCTCCGTGGAGGACGCTCATTACTGGTGAACAGGAAAGCCAGGGCAGCAAGTGCGATCCCCAAAATGACAGCCACGACATATGCTGCTATGCTAACCTTTGTGGATACTGTATCCTGACTGCTCCATAAAAATGCCAAAAGAACAGGTGCCAAGCAAGCACTTGCAACAGCATATTCTTTCGACCAGCGGTCTTCCTCCACTATTGGAATTGTCAACCTTCTTGGTATCGTCAAGGGAAGCTCCATAAACGAAAACAGCTTGGAAATATTGAACGTGGAGTTATCCACTTCTCCCTCACTCCAACCCCACAATGGCCTTGAGCTGTCAGGCGAACCAACTCTATTTCCATGATTTGAGTAGATGGCCACATGAGAAGCCCACATCCACTGAGGCAAGGATGTATTCATCTGGGCCACCTCACCATCTGCATCCTCCTCAAGAAGTGAACTGTACACTGAATCCTCCTCCTCTGCTCCTTGTTCAAATATACTTGCCCTCACAGGCAGCAATGGTGTGACCACATCAAACTTCAGTCTCCTGGCATGTTTCCTCAATACCTCATTTGCAGCCACAACAAATGCATAGACTGCATAAATCGACACAAACATCATAGCTCCCCAAACAGTCACCTTCCCAACGACCAAAACTATAGACAAAGCAAGCAGAGTCACCAGAAAGAACCCAACATCCCTCACAAAGCACCTCCTATCAATCTGCACATTCTTCTCCGCAACGCACAATGACACTGCCCCAACCACAACACAGGTCACGAATACAGCTCCACCCAGCACGCTGTTCAGCCCAACATCACCAGCACCGCTCCCCATAAACGCCGCGATGCTAGAAAACACGTCGGGAGCGCCATTACCAAAAGGGAGCAGCGTCACGCCAGCCACGGTGGGCGGGAGCCGCAGCAGTGCCGACATCTTCTCAAGGCTGCAGCAGAAGTAGTCGGCAGCGGTATTGCCCAGCATATAGAACAGCGCGGCCAGGCATACCCCGAGCACCGCGTAGCTCAGCACCCTGAACCTCTCGCATCTGCAGTAGAAGAAGCCCAGGTAGTCCACGAACCCACCGGAGCTGCACTGCGTGTGGGCCCGGAGGAACTCGCACTGCGTCCCGAACCCCTCGTGCCGCGCGATGCCCGCGCACGCCGCAGAAGGGTCCTCCGGCTGCTCGCCATTTAGCGTAGCGGCTCCCGAAGGGCCCGCAGGGTCGGCATCGGAGAGGAACCTGCGGTGCGCCGGGTGCAATCCGAAGCCCAGGAGCCGCGCGGCGCGCGGCGAGCCCCCGTCGGAGCGGCTGTACAGGAGAAGGAGGAACAGCAACAGGGAGACAGCGGCGAGGGGCCGCACACGGCGCGGCTGCGACGCGATCATCTCCGGCAGGTTCAGGGTGATGGGTTTGCGTAGTCACGCATGCCGAATTCGCGGTCGAATTTGGGGGATTTGACAGGTAGGGAGGTGATTCGGAGGATTGGGGCCGGGGTCAGGGTTTGCCGGGCGTGGTTCCTGGTTCCGTAGTTGACGACGAGAGCAAGCAAAGCAAACGAGACGACGGGTTCGTCGGTTTGGCCTTGCCTTGCCCCGTTGCTCGGCTCCGGCTGAAAAAATGGGGACGGTGCGGGGGTCGGCCTATTGTACCTTCGATTCGGCGGTCCGGCCCGTGAAAATTTACCTCTTCAACTCGCAGTCATTTGATTTTGCTCAAAAAAAAAAAAGAAATTTTGATTTTGCTCTATGAACTACCAGTTCTTTTCACGTCCCTCAATTTTTAAAATCATTTGTTCATTGTTTTGTTATTTGTCTATTACGAAGGAATTTGTTTTGGACACATGGGTGTCACATGCTTTTCTACTATAGTATTATAATGGATCTAACATTTGACTTGAATGTTAGACATATTTTTCCCAGGTGGGATAGTAGAAACAAACAGGAGAGATGTTCTGAGTTAGATAGTGAGAACAAACAACCAGGTGGGATCAGCAGGGTTCAAAATTTGGTGAAATTTTTGGCGAATTTTTTATGGAAATTCGGTAATTTCGTGGTGGTCAAAAGAAAAATCCGAAATTTTGTAATACACTAATACATGTGCTATATAACTCTAGACTCATATTTTCTATTGTTTATATTGCATATTCTTCTATTCAATAGATGTGTAGTCATAAATCGTACTAATATCGTATAAAAAATCGTACTAATATTTGTTTAGATATATATTTTTTTAGAAAAAGGCATACTTCATGTGCTAATCTTTAAAAACATTTCACCGAAATTTCAGCCGAATTTCACGAAATTCGGTAATTTCGGTGGTGACCGAAATTTTTGCAATACCAAAATTAAAAACCTTAGATCAGCAGACACGAGACGCTTACATATGCAAGTTACAAACACTTGCAGCAGAGCGTGAACCCGTGAATCGAACGTACACAAAGATCACTGGAGAATGGGATATGATAAAAAAAAAAAGCACCAGTTTCCCCATAAAAGGTGAAACGGAGCATATGTTGTGACGTATTTATATCCTTCCGAAATAAATCAAACTTTTCCTTTATGTTTTTGACCAGTTAATACAATGTTTCCAGATCTTTTCCCGTGCCCAAGTGAAAAGGAGTAACGAAAATTACAATCTTACAGAAAAGAACATCATCACAACGCTTCAACAGCTTTTGTCAACGCTTACACCAAACTATCCATGAGGAAAATTACCAGTAATGAGAACTCGCAAATCCTAAGCCTGCTCCTATATAAACTGTATTTTATCCACAGACTGTCAGTTCTACTGTCAGATCAATATCTCCATTCAGCACCTTGAGCAAGGAACAGCTGCGTCGACCAGACTACAATCCAAATCCCACCACATGAGCAGCTTCCTTCAGACAAAGCTGTCAAAGCACACCAAAAATGGGTCGGCAAAGAACCCCCATATGTAATTCAGGCATGTGAACCACAGGTGCTGCTCTAACGGATCTGATTTACCCTGCTAAACCAAACTGAGTGTAGTATCATGTGGAAAACATACTTGACGGGATTTGGATGCCACAGAAAATGCTTCTGCGCCCTTTTCACATTTGACTGCAGGGTTATGTATCGACTCTCGGGTATTGCCAACAAGATCTCCTTCAGCTTAGGTACGTCACTTTCTGGTACGACAACAGAGAATGCACTCCAGTTGAGTGCAGCATCAAATGGGAGAACAAAATTGTCGGCAATTATTACTGGAACACATTCATAATATATTGCCTCAACTATTCTCGGGCTGTTTACCTCATACCCCATGGGACAGATACAGTACTTGCTTGACTTCATATGCTGAACATAATTTCTCTTCCTAGAGATTCGGTGAGGCAGCCTACTTTATATTCTCATATCAGAATCCTTGTCTCCCCAATACTTGAGAAGTACAGGTCGAACTCGACCGTGCATCTGCCCTGCAAAGAAGGCCAGGATAGTTCTCTGTGCGGCTGGTCTTCCCCCAATATCTCTTAGAGGTCTTCTTGGCGATCTAAGAAATGTTTCTGGAAGGGAAACATCTTTTCCACGGATAAAAATTCCTTCAGAGAGATCTGCATTGCAGAGAGCTTTAATAGTGTTCTTCCGCAATTCGTTGTGCAATTTGGTTGTGTAAGGCCCCTGAAAAATAAGATACAATGTCAGGTACATAAATTATTTTTTTTCAAATTAAATCTGTGTTTCTCCTCGATAGTTGATCAAACATTTTCTAAAAAAAGTTCATCAAAATACCAGTAAAAAAAGGTATTGATTAAAATCCATAGTTTACATGATGGTTACTTAAGGAAGAAAAATATGCAGTGGAGAAAACATACCCAGTCATGGCAAGCAACAAAGAAATGATCAGCTCCTTTTGTCCTATTCCAATATGGGTACTTGGCCGAGATTAGGTCAATGTAATTTTTAACAAAGATAGACAGTGGCTCAATTGTATTTGAGCCAGGGCACATAAAGGTTATGCTCCAGTTGACGAGAACTATATGGGAGATAGAATAAATGGGCTCTGTTTGGATCTCTGACAACAAAATTCTGGTTTGTCTCCATCAATCTCATAAACCATCCCTCAGACGCATAGATACCTTTCAACTCCGGGGAATGGAAAATAGGTTTTGCTCCATCATGATATATGAAAACCTTAAGAAGTCTCTCCATCAGTTCATAACTCCTGGAAGCATGAGTTCAACTACAATAAACCAACCACTGAAATGAAACAGCCAACGCACGGTACAGTCCAACACACAAACGGTAGTGTGATAAGTTAGAAAACACAATGCGTCATATTAGGAACTTAAGGTACCATTACGGCTTCCTTTTATTAGGAACTTCTGCTCACGTGCTACTGATCATCTGATGCACAGTTGGTTGGCAGGATTGTACATCACAAAAGGCAATGACATAAGTAAATAGAAGTTACTCTAATAAGTGATCATAGTGTGGAGCAAATTACAAATTAGTTCTATTTTTTGAATGGAAGGATAAACAAGAACGTTGTTGAACACATGATTGAGCATTTGATTTTTAGAAAAGAATTATGGAACATATCAATCACAAGAGAGACAATATGAAACCTAGCCAGTTCCTTACCTTTTATAGATGGACACATTCCGGAACAGGGGTGCATATAGATCAGGGTCATCTGAGGTCAATGGTGCATTAGTGATTATGGATGAAAACGGTACGGATATTTATTCGACCGTCCGTTCGACCGAACAAATATGAACACTTATCTGGATAGTTACTCGGATATCCGTAATTTTTTTCGGATACGGATACTAAAACGGATATCTTAGGCGGATATCAAATACGGATGTAATATCATCGATATCCGGCGGATATCGGATAATCCGGTTAAGTATCGGATATATCCGGATATTTAAAAACGGATATTATCCGGATATTATTCAAACGACCTTGGATGGAGAAATGATCAAAATAAAAATTGTAGATCTCAAAAAGTTATGAAACTTTGTTGTTTACAACTTTTTCGTTTGAAATCATTTAGTGCTTCAAAATTTAAACCGTCCAAACTTTCTCAAATAGAAAACTAGTTTATAAGCGTCAAAATTTAAAAATCACAAATTTGAACCATCCAAACTATCTCAAATGGAAAGTTGACCAAAACAACAATTGTAGATCTTGATGAGTTGAACAAACTTGGTATTCAAAACTTTTCAATTTGAAGTCATTTAGAGTTCATAATACTAGAGTCAAAGTGTTGTTTTTTCATTTGACAAAATTTGACTTGGTCAAACTTGCTCAAATGAGACACTAAATGACCTCAGATGAAAAAACTCTGAATACCAAGTTTGATCATCTCAGCAAGATCTACAATTGTTACATAGCTCATTTTCCCATTTGAGAAATTTTTATCAAACACTAGTCACAAATTCTTGAATCTCATATAGACTTTCTGAAACTATGTCACACACTTGTGAAATTTGAACTACATTTTGTTCAAACTTTCTCAAATGAAAAAATGGCCTATATAATGATTGTAGATCTTGATGAGATGAACAAATTTGGTATTCAAAACTTTTCAATTTGAGACAATATAGGGTTCCGAAAACTAGTTTGTAAACATCAAAATTTAAAAATCACAAATTTGAACCGTCCAAACTATCTCAAATGGAAAGTTGACCAAAACAACAATTGTAGATCTTGATGAGTTGAACAAACTTGGTATTCAAAACTTTTCAATTTGAAATCATTTAGAGTTCATAATACTAGAGTCAAAGTGTTATTTTTTTATTTGACCAAATTTGACTTGGTCAAACTTGCTCAAATGAGACACTAAATGACCTCAGATGAAAAAACTCTGAATACCAAGTTTGATCATCTCAGCAAGATATATAATTGTTACATAGCTCATTTTCCCATTTGAGAAAGTTTTATCAAACACTAGTCACAAATTCTTGAATCTCATATAGACTTTCTAAAACTATGTCACACACTTGTGAAATTTGAACTACATTTTATTCAAACTTTCTCAAATGAAAAAATAGCCTATATAAGGATTGTAGATTTTGATGAGCTCAACAAACTTGGTATTCAAAACTTTTCAATTTGAGATAATCTAGGGATCCGAAAACTAGTTTGTAAGCATCGAAATTTAAAAATCACAAATTTGAACCATCCAAACTATCTCAAATGGAAAGTTGACCAAAACAAGAATTGTAGATCTTGATGATTTGAACAAACTTGGTATTCAAAACTTTTTAATTTGAAGTTATTTAGAGTTCATAATACTAGAGTCAAAGTGTTGTTTTTTCATTTGACCAAATTTGACTTGGTCAAACTTGCTCAAATGAGACACTAAATGACCTCAGATGAAAAAATTCTGAATACCAAGTTTGATCATCTCAGCAAGATATACAATTGTTACATAGCTCATTTTCCCATTTGAGAAAGTTTTATCAAACATTAGTCATAAATTCTTGAATCTCATACAGACTTTCTGAAACTATGTCACACACTTGTGAAATTTGAACTACATTTTGTTCAAACTTTCTCAAATGAAAAAATGGCCTATATAAGAATTGTAGATCTTGAATCCATGACCATGACTCCATGAGACCCATGAAGCCATGAGCTTGGCTATTTCTACTCATGCCGCGAAGATTGGTGCTTGTATGATGTATCTGTATCTTTATCTTATTTGTTGCTTTACTCTTTAGTCTTTCGGCTTAATCTAGATGGATTATGGACTCATAGAGTGGTGTAATGGTTTGCGCACGTATGATATATATATATATATATATATATATATATATATATGCTGCTTTTACTCAATATCCGAAGAGATATTTGTATCCGACCTTCTCCGAATCCGATTCATACCGTATTCGATACTCATTATTCGTATCCGTAACCGAGTCAATCCGTATTCGTATATGTATCCGAACGCTATCCGTGTCCGAATCCAAATCCGAACAGAAATATGAAAACAAATATAATACGAGTGATATCCGTTCGTATCCGATCCGTTTTCATCCCTATTAGTGATCTCTTTCTTTGCATATATAAGCTCTTCATCAGCTGCTGTTGACCAAAGAGGCGCCTGCTAAATTGTCAAGGTAAGAAAAGTATTCTACAATTTTGACTACACTAAGAATTGGAATCGTATCCCAAAGAGGTAAAGCATCAACCTCTGGCGTTAGAGGCAGAACAGATTTGGTATCCATGACATGTTCTCCATTGATATCGGTGCTCATTGTAGGCAAACCACAAGAAATGGGCTTCACAGGTAAGGAGGTTAAGAAAAATAAATATGTAAGTTGCTACAGGAAAATTCCACCCATGATTAGTTAGATATGTACCTCTTTTTTGAGAAAAGGAGCTTATTCATTTGGTGGATTTCTCTGAAGTGTCAGAAACCTCTGATTAGAAGCTATTGAGAAAACATGGTTTCCTAATTGCATTAAGTTGAACCATAACATGACATGCAAGAGGAAACCCATGAAGTGATATACTTTTATAGTGATCCATACCTTTATCTCAGGATGTTTGGGTTCCTCCATTGAACCATCATCAAAATTCTCTGTAGGTGAAGATGAAGGGACCAAGTGTTAAACTTACAGGATCATTAGATGTAGCTCTAGGGGTGCTGACTTGACTAGAATAGGATAAACATGCCCTAGAACATGGACTACGAGATCTAAGAAGGAGAGGGGAACAGAGGTACCGACCATCGGAGGGCTTGGTGGAGCTGGAACCGTCCATCGCGTCGGTAGAGAGGGCGGAGAAGAGGTGGCGCTCCAGTGGCGGTGTAGCGGTGAAGTGGTCCAACAACGACGGCGTCCCGGTGATGGTGCTTCCCGTCGCTAGCTGCGCCCCTCACTAGATCGGGTTAGGTTTTGTCAGTGGGTGTGGCGGCTCACGGTGAACCTCGTACTCAGAGCCGCCGACCCCCACCTCTCTTTATAGCACAGTGCAACGGGGGGCCACCAACCTTGTATGGTTGGGCTTCCCCGATCAGGGCGCTAGGTCAAGGCTCAACTCGGCCGTTGGGCCAAGCTGGAGAGATCAACGCTAACAATCTCCTCCTTGATCTCATCTTATTACTTAAACTTAACTTACTTTATCTTTTTCTCATTCCATCACAGATCAGTGTATAGAGCGTGCCTCATCGTCATGGTCAATGCTATTAGATTAACAGCTATAATGCACCTCTCTGTTTTGAAACAGATTCTCAACTAGGCCGTTATTGTCCAGGAATCATAGGTTTTCCCTTAAACCCATACCGGCTAAGTGTTCTCTGAACACGTTGGGTGGTAAACCTTTTGTAAGCGGATTCGCGAGCATCTTTTCTGTACTTATGTGCTCAAGACTAATTATATGATCCCGAACTTTGTATTTCACAACATAATACTTTAGTCAATGTGTTTGGCAGCACCACTTGACTTATTATTATGAGCATAACATATTGCTGGATTATTATCGTAGTATAACTTGAGTGGCTTATGTATGTCGTCTACCATTTTCAACATGGGCATGAACTTCTTCAGCCAATTCACTTGCCCTGTGGCCTCATAACACGCTACAAACTCAGCATACATCGTAGACGATGTAGTGACGGTTTACTTGGAGCTTTTCCACGATATAGCTCCTCCTGCGAGAGTAAATATATATCATAACGTGGACTTTCTATCATCTCCCGCATAATCTAAATCTAAATACCCCTCTATGTGTAGAGAATCAGATCTTCTATACGTTAGCATAAGGCCTTTTGTGCATTGCAAGTAACGTAAAACTTTCTTTACTAGTCTTTAGTGTTCTATTCCTGAATTACTCTGATATCTGCCAAGTAACCCGGTAACAAATGCTAAGTCAGGACGTGTACACACTTGAGCATACTGTAAACTTCCGACAGCTGAAGCATATGGAACGCTTTCATTTGATCGATCTCATATTGGTTTCTAGGACATTGGAAATTCCCCAAATCTATCGCCCTTGACTATGGGAGCAGGCGAAGGCTTATAATTTTGCATACTATATTTCTTTAGAGCCTTTTCTAAGTATGTCTTTTGTGATAATCCTAAAACCCTCTTTCTTCTATCTCGGTGAATCTCTATTCCTAGAATGAACGAAGCTTCACCGAGATCCTTCATATCAAAATTCGAGGATAAGAACTTCTTCATTTCTAGTAGTAGATT